GAGAGAGAGAGAGAGAGAGAGAGAGAGAGAGAGAGAGAGAGAGAGAGAGAGAGGCAGGAAGAGAAGCTAAGAATTACATGAGGTGGAATATTCATCACTATATGGTGGCCAGAAAGAAATGGGTTTATACAGGTGCATGGTACAAGTAAGATAGATTGTGGTTGTGGTCAAATCAAGAGATAGAAAAATGTGAAATGAAGGTTTCAAACAAGATGAAAGAGACAAAGGTACACCTAGGAAGAGTCATCAGTCAGGATCGGAGGAGAGAGAGATATCACCTCTGTCACTTTCCACTATGTCCATCTTGGGGACATGCTGCCCCACATCAGGCACTCCTGCTTGTACACCCAGGCGTTTACTCTGCCTTTCATCAGCCTGGGAAGCAAACCAAAAATTCCAGATGCCAAAGGCAGAAAATTAGATAAAGAGGAGCATGGAACTCCCGTGCAACATCTGGAAATGCTGAGTGGAACACACGGATTTCTAAAACTCAAAGCTGAGCTGAGGAGACATGCAAAGGGCAAGGGATGAGATGGCATCGCAGCTGCCCAAGGGGGGGCTCTTTGTCTCAAGATCCTGGCAGTATTTCTGCTGTCTACAGGAAGATAACCAAGGAAGCTCCAGTGGTGGGATATTGGAAAGATAAGACCTTATATAAATTCACCTCGAAAACACTGAGGATAATCCATTGTTGGCAAACATTACCAGGCATAACAAACACAAACATGGACCTTTCAAAATTGGTATTACAGCACAGCCACTCACAGGAGGACAGAAACATTCACTTAAGGCGATTGAATGCATAAAAGAAACCTGGGACTGTAAGAAACAAAAGCCCCAGAAACCTTAAATAGATATGAAAAGAGAAATAAACAGGACTTCTAGGGATTAAAAATGTAATTGCTGAAATCAAAATTCTGTTTAGAAAGATTAAGTAACATATCAGATAAAGCCCAAGTTCTCTTGAACACTAATGGACTAAAATATAAGTCTGAAGAAATTAACTCAAAGCATTTGAGATGAAGTGTTAGCAATGGGAGAAGAACAGGAAAAAGATGCATGGTATAATACATGAAAACAGTAAAATAATGTGTACAAGGAGCCTGGTGGTGGTGGTGGTACACACCTTTAATTCCAGCAGAAGCAGAGGCAGAGGCAGGTGGATTTTTGAGTTTGAAGCCAGCCTGGTCTACAGAGTGAGTTCCAGAACAATTAGGGCTACACAGAGAAACCTCGTCTCAAATTAATAATTAATTAGTACTGGGAATGTGTATAAAAGACAAAAGGTGATAATTACAAAATGAATGGTCAAGTATTTTTCCAGACTTTGTGAAAGAATGAGTGATATAAGTCTGAATTCAAAAAGCTTAAGAGTCTCAAACACAAAAATAAAAATAAATTCACATGCAAACACAGAGTACTAAAAGCACAGAACTGTTTAGAGGTACGAAGAAAACCACAAAATCAAACAGAGAAAAAGTAAATCATCTACAAAGAAATAAGGAGACTTTTCAACAGAAACCACAGAGCAACTGAGTGGAGCAGAGCTCCAGAGGTCTAGTCTAAAGGTCTAGAGGACAAATGAGTTCCTCCCAGAATTTTATAACCAGCTGAACTATCACCAGAGACTGGGTGCGAGGCTGAGCCCTTCCTTTGACTTTTATGCTTTAAGATAAAAATATAAAAATTACATAGATAACCTCATTTAGCTTGCTTAGCTCACAAGAAAGACAAAACAAAGATAACAATGAACAAGAACATAGGCAATTAAATGTCCCCATGAAGCATTAGAAAATAGAATAAAATTATTGACTTTTCCATCAATATTAATGACTCTGACTTGAGTATCTTTTGGGTACAAATAGAAATACTGCTGAACAACTGAAAGATGTTTATAAAGATATTAATGAAGAAGAAAACTGAAATCTGATTTCTGCAGGACATTTTTAGCGTTCATCATTTTTCCTCCACTAAGGATAGCTCTTTGGGTACTGAAAAGTCATCTATAGAATTTTAAACTTTAATGTGCCAAGGTGCAGGTTCTACTGTTCATCGTCTATTGAACCGTTACAGTAACAACCACTCTCCCTTGGGCATCATCAGAATTACTTTTTCCTCCTCTGTTTCTCCTTCTATGAGGTTCTCTTCTCTTCCTAAGTCTTTAGGTAGGATTATATCCCATGTCTTTCATCCATCAATCGATATTTGAAATAACACCAAATTGACTAAGGTATTAAATAGAGCTGGGCATGATGGTGCGTGTCCATAATGCCCGTACTTGAGGAACGACAGAGACATGAGTTCAAGGCAGGTTTGCTACAAATCCAGTCTGAGACCCTGTCTCAAAACAACAACAATACCCAAAGAGAGTGTTAAGAAAAGAATCAATGTCAACTGCTAAGTAGCCTTTCTTCAGATTTTAGAACTAAAGTACCTAATGACTTTTAGATCATGAAAGACCTTTCCTCATAGTATTTGTCTCTACATATCAGTGAACAGAAGCATGTATGTTTCTATGAAGGTTAGCCTGAAAGAAAATAATATTCCTGTTTGGAAAAAACAGGAAACAGCCCCCAGGAGATCAAGTTTATGACATTCTAACTACAGACCAAAGTACAAAACACATGCCCAAGAAGACCCTGCTCAGTGTGTAGCCATATTACCCACATTGCCTTGCTTCCCACGCCACCAGTTCTTGGCTCTCCTGAATTCCTCCAGATGTAGCTTTGAGGATACCAGCCCCTTCATCACCTAAAGATGCTTGCTTTTGAACAAATATGGGTCCTTCCCATTAACTCTCTTCTGGGCTTAAGGGAAGCAGCCTGGGTCTTGGGCTCAAAGAAGAATGCCACATAGGGAGTCTCATCTTTAACAATAAGACCCTCAAATAGAGGGTCACAGTATGCCAAGCAATGAATATTGATCACTGTCTATCTATCTATCTATCTATCTATCTATCTATCTATCTATCTAAATATCTGTCTAAATATATACAGTAAATGTACATGCCTTGTAGCTATATATGAAAGCTGGCTGAACAAGTATCAACCCTCCATGTCCTCTGCTTCAGCTCCTGTTTCTGTGTTCCTGCTTTTAAGTACTGCTATGATTTCTACCAATGATGGACTATGGGCTGAAATAAATCCCTGCCTTCCCAAGTTGCCTTTGGTCATAGTGTCTATCACAGTGGGAAACCAAACCAAGACAATAGTGTTTGCATATCATTTATGCATACCCTCCTGAGTAACTTAAAATCATCTCTAGGTGGCTTATAACATGCACTACAGTGTAAGTGCTAAGAGATAGTTGCTTTGATACCGTATTGTTCCAGGACTCATGTCCTATTCAGTATATGCAGTATATTCCCCTACCCCAGTTCTCCATGTTTTGATCTGAGCTTGGTTAGGTCAACAGACCAGGAACCCATGGATCTAGGGTACCAGTCATGTGCAGAACAGAGATGGATTTAAGAGAAGGTCCTTTCATGGTCTGTACTCACCAAAGGCTCTGCCATGATGATTCGAATCTTACGCTCAGCCTGAGTGGTGAAGTTCACAAATAAACTCTTGAGGACATACTCTCCTGGCTTGCTGTCTGGGTCCACATTGATCGGCAACATGGCCGGTGGTCCTTTCTCCCTGTGTGTGCCTGAAGCAGGTGGGACTGGAGGCTTGATGTAACCGTTGCCAACTGGAGAAGCTGAAAAAACAGAGTGGATTTTAATGGATAAAAAAAAAATCATAAACATTCAGATGTTAGTAAATCATAAATGTAAAAGTGAATCATAAAAAGGTTGTGCTTCAAATCATAGCCTGGTCATATTCCTTAGAAATGGTGTTAGAATTTAAATATTTTGATCACATGATATTATTTTTTACAATCAAATACACCATCCTAAAATCATCCTTACCACATGGATATATCTTAAATTGTATAACATTTAAGATGTTTGGAACTTTTTAAAAAATAATTCAGGCAAGTAGATTAAGAGGAGTCAGAAAAGTGATTTCTTGTTTAGGTTTTTAATGGTGAGCACCCTCTTTTCTATGTTTCATAGCTGAAGAAACTCATGACTCATTGCTTCCACAAATCTCTAAGAGCCAATTTGCAAAAACTCAGCTGGCTGCTGCTCTCAAACAGATGCACTGCTAGAAAGAAAATGACTCAGCAACTCATGTTTGCAATCCTAGCTTTGGGAGGCTGAGGCAGGAGAATCTCTGTGAGTTCAAGGCCAACCCGAGTAACACAGGTGAGTTCAAGGACAGCTTGGTCTTCAGTAAGAGCAGGGGAAGGAGGTCCCGCCTGCCTCTTTATTCCCCTTCCTGCATACACTTGTTAGAGCAATGCAGCACTCGGCACTCACCCAAGAAGCTTCTAATTGCAGAATGTGGTGGTTTGAATACACTTGGCCCAAGGGAAGTAGAACTATTAGGAGGTGTGACCTTGTTGGAAGAAGTGCATCACTGTGGAGGCTGGCTTTGTGGGCTCCTAGTGCTCAAGGTCTGCCCAGTGTGGAAGAGACCCTCCTCCTAGCTGCCTGCAGAAGAGAGTCTCTTCTGGTTGTCTTCAGATTAACATGTAGAACTCTCAGCTCTTCCAGCACCATGTCTACCTGGATGCAGCCATGCTTCCCACCATGATGATAATGGACTGAACTCAAACTGTAAGCCAGCCCCAACTAAATGTTTTCTTTTAGAAGACTTGCCTTGGTAATGGTGTCTCTTCACAGCAATAAAACCCTAACTAAGACACAGTAGATGGTAGTTAACATAGAGACCCTCAACTGGCCAAGGTGCAGAGAACAAGAGACTAGAGAGTGCTCAGCTCTAAATGAAATACCCATCTTCCCACCAAGACTCAAAGATCAGAGCGTAATAGCCGGAGACGGTGCATAACTACAAAAAAAAAAACAGTGTTTTCTAGAGGCATCCAGCTATTTGCACGTATGATTCACAGTGCCTCTAACGGCACGCACGCACAAGACCTGTGCAAGCCCACACCATGCAAACTCCAGCATGAAGAGGGGGCTGCTGGGAAAGAAATAATCTGTTTCCTCGAAGAACATACCCTCTGGCAAGTTAGCCATGGTTCAGTGGAGACCACACATCAAAGAATATTTTGGGCAGCACAAGTTGGTCTTGGAGGGTTCTGTTTTGTTTTGGAGGGGGGAATACAGAGTTGGGTGGATAAGAAGAGGGAGATCTGAGTTGAGCTGGAAGAGTGAATACATTTAGGACACATTGTGAGACACTTGGAGTTCTCAAAGAACCAATATCAAAAGGAGACATGAGGCTCTATTGATGACATCCAAGGTGTGGATTAAATTTTTGATTCTCATCACCACTGGGCCAAGTTACAGTGCCTGTTTTGAGTTTTACAAAATATATAAAGTCATATTTGTTCTGATTCCTAGCAGGGGTAGCCATCAAGGCTTCTGGGATTGGGGATGGAGGGGGTGATGGTCTCCAAACAGAACCCAATTTAATGGAAAAGTGTTTTTAATCAGATAGCTCCTGAAAATAATTTTACTTATGAATTCAAATGCTATATCTGTTTTTAATGGAATTTTTGCTGTGTAGAATTCTGAGTATAGAATATTTGAGTGTGGTGGTATAACTCTATAGCTCCAGATACTGGGGAGGCTGAGGCAAGAAGCTCATTTGAGCCTAGAGTTCAAGGCCAGCCAGGGCAACAAGTTGAATGCCTATTTCTTTTTTGCTTTGCTTTGCTTTACCTTTTTAAAAAGAGTCTCACTCTATAGTCCAGATTGGCCTCAAACTCAGAGCCAATCCTCCTGCTTTAGCCTCTCAAATGTTGGGATCACAGCAATCTGTCACCATGACTGTCTAAGGGAACTGTGGTTTTCTAAGAGAAAAAAAATTCTAGTGTCCACGAGCCAAGTACTAATCAGGTGTCAATTATCCTGTGAAGAAACTAAGATCAGGTGAGCATAAGATAGAGATAGCAGGAACAAGGATGGTGGGACAGGGGTAAAATATGGCCTTTAAAGGGAACATGTGGTTTGGGGTGATGAGGTACAGGCATTAAGGGAAAGGATGACAGCCCAGCTTATCAAGAGTGCTTATTCTACAGGCAAATAGTCCAAGTCAGCTGATGGAGGTCTCTGTTGCTCGTGCCTGCCTGGCCTCCAATGCTCGTGGACATCTTGTAGAAGTAGGGCACTGCCTCAGCTCAGAGGGACACAGTACCTGTACTATCTTCCCACTGTATCAAGGTCACCATGCTTCAGAAGCAGCGAACTGAATGTCAACCTAAAACCTTCCTTTGGAAACAATGCTTTATTATCCTGGTGTCTCACAGGGCTGAATGCATTTCTAGAGGCCAGCAGTAACTGTGAAGACATAAGATCCCAAGATCACAAGATCCCGGGATTAAACTCATAATGACAGTGAGGGGCTGTTCAGGACAGTGACCCTTGGCACACCCCTGGCCAAGTCACAGATCGCTGAGATCCAGGCACCAGAATACCTGCTGTACAAACTCTCCATTTTTAAGCCCAAAGTACTCATCCACAGCTATCTGAGAAAAGAGTATCCTCCTGTACTTCCAGTCTGACGTCTTTGTATGCAGAGTCTACCCACATATCAAGCCAACTACCCCTGAGTTGAAGCAGAGAGTGAAGGGGAAGCAGTCTGGTTCAACAATGGCTCTGCGTTCACACAGTCCAGCCTTGAGAGATGGTGGCACAGTAAAGGTCATGGGTCTTCACCTTTGAGCCGGATCCACTTAGAAAGCCTTCTTTATCTCACTATCATCAATTTCCAACAAGTACTAGCCTCTGTCGATATCATTCTCAGGAAGAAGCTCAACAAGGCTTTTAGTGAAGTCATTCCTCACTGGGGAACTACGTATTTGAGAATCAGGAAATCTGCACAGCTTGGCCATCAAAATCGATGCCACCTTCTCCCTAGTATAAGCCTGGTGGTACACGACTGTAATCCCAACACTTAAGAAGGGGAAGCAGGAAGAAAAGAAGTTTGAGGCTAGCCCAGGCTATAAAACATCCTATCTCAGACAATGACAATAAATAAGCCAAAAACAAAATACCTCTAAGAATAACAACATAAAGATCACCCTTTATTTAATCATACCATAGATGAAATCACCAGTCCTTCCTTCCCCTGGGCATTTGCTTGCTTTTAATCCACACATCACTAGTTTCATTTGTCCAAAAAGAAAGAAGAAAAGAGAAGTGAAAGAGAAACTCTGTTGTTGAGTTTCTAAATTTGCTACAATCTTCTCTTCTGCCCTCTCCTCTCCCCAGCTTTTCAAGACACCATGTGTAGCCCGGGATAGCCTCAAGTCCTTCCTGTAGCTGAGGGTCTTCCTGCCTGCTTTACCAACTTTCCCAGGACCAATGCAAGCATCCCTCTATGATCAGTAGAGGACTACCTCAGCTACAGTTATAATGATGCGGGGAGGAAGAGGGCAGCCTCTCTGTCCTCCCATGCGACCCCCAGAAGCTGAGAGCACAATGGCATGGCAGGCAAACCGCCCAGTCCTTGGTTGGAATTTGCTGTAAGTTAAATTCCACTTCTCACTGGACACAAGCACTTACTCCTCTCTCACTTCCAGACAGTAGGCACTCAGTGGGCATCTAGGCTTCAGGCCCTGGTCTAGGTACTGGGAATACGCTGGTGAAGAGAGACAGTGTTTATTATTATTGCCTACTTTGTGACAAAGCAGATTCATCACACACACACAGACCATAGATACACAAACATACACACACACATACACATAGACACACACAGATACACAAACATACACACA